TTCATAATATATGATTGAGAGCTTTGTGTATATTTGACCAGGCCATTGTCAACCCCAAATCTGAGTTTTATATTTTTATCTTCACAGCTTTTAAGTTCCAGCAATTTTCCTATGAGCCAATTTTGTTTGTGTGAACTTACAAGGAATTAAAAAGTTGAACTTTATCTTGTAACTTTTAAAAGAAAGTGTGCTGGCAGCAGCTGGGGGCTGTGGCCCTGTTAACATCCTCCATGAATGGAAGTGGTGGTGGTTTGTTCTAGGCAGACTCAGGTATTGTGCTCATCCCTGGAGGCCCTTCCCACTGTACATTAAGCCAGATGCTTGGCGTGCTCCTTGGGAGCAAGCATGCACACAGTGAATTAATCTGTCAAGCTTTTAATATGCAAATTTATACATATATACACAGACACATGCACAGAGAAACAAAGAGAGGTGCAGGCACACATTGGTATGCACAGTGATCTTTCTTTGTTTTAGAGAAAATAAGGTCAGACAAGTGCAACATGTGCAAATGGAGAAGAAAGCACATTCTCCTTCTCGAGGGAATTCCTTCTGTAGGCCTGTGTCAGCAATGCAGAATATTCCTGCTCTAGGATGGATGAGTGTCACCATTATCATCCAGTTCTGAAGGTTCCAAACAAAAAGCTGTCAGAAATAACCTTTATCCTAAAGGTGTATAAAATAATTCATACATCTTGCCAGCAAACTTGTGAACACCATATGATTAAAATAAATGGTCTTCAACTTTATTCATCAGTCTGGTGGGTGTCAAGGTAGGACATGTTTAATACATTCATGACAGTCTGTGTTTCAGGTGACATGCATTGCTATAATTTGAATGTTGGCATTTCCTGAGGGTCAGCACCTTCATTCTCATGTTCTGCATTGTTATGATCTAGTGGGTAGGTGAGAAAGAGCAGCCTCTCGGGTGTGAGCATCCTAGAGCTGGATCACGTGGGGTGTATCTATTTTTAGGGCATTCTTTTAAGCTGTGGCGCTTCTGTTTTTGTCTGTACTTCAGTGGTGCAGTTCAGTCTCTGCACTACCGGGGTGCAGGAAGCAGTTTTGTGACTGATGGAAACCAAGCACTGTGTAGAGAGCAATACTTAGGATGTGGATACAAGGTACCTCCTCCAGAGGAATGTTAATCTTCTTTGGGGATGGTCTCCCACTGGTTTGCTTTCTGCATGTGGGATTTTGCTGGTAACAGGAATGTCACAGTGGTGATAGGACTGAGGAATTCAGGGACACGTAGAGTCAAACTTATAGGTAGATGATGAAGTGCTCCTAGGCCTTTGCCTTTGGATGGCCTTTTACAGAGAATTGGGTAAATGGGTTCAAAGGGGAGGGTCTGGCAGAATCGGGGTGTTAAGGGCTGCACTGACCAAAATGTCAATTTTCAGTGCATAGGACTTGGTGAGACTGTAAGTAACATTTCTATTGTATGCCATAACAGTAGTTAGTGATTGAGCTGGGACCAGAGTAACATTCAAATGATTAGTTAGGCTGACATCACTGATGAACAAATCAGGAGTCTCTCATCAGTTTGTTTGTAACATACATAGTTTTCTTCAAAGGAATTCAGCAGCATTCCTACTAGGAATAGTGTTTAATTTAAATTAACCCTGTAACTGATTTATTACATAAAGTGTACCTTGGTTTTCTAGGCTGCCACAGAACTTGCATTGATGGTAGAATAGCATCAGATTCCCTACCTTCCCTTTAAGTTTGGTATTATAGTGGTCTCCCATGCAAGATAAGTCTCAGCCTTTACCTAATTAAAGCTCAAATTTATTAACTCAGACAAGATGTTAAAAAAATTGAGAGCTTCAAGCTGCAGTGATAATTTCTAATGCTCCTACCTTACTCCAGTAGAAATTATATGTACTCTTAAATTTCCCTTCAGGAATCCTCAGTAACCTGTAAGAGCTCTCTAATTCTGCCATGAAGATTAATTTGTATCTGTGGTGAATTTTTGAAACACTGACTCTTGCTTGTAATTCATCTAGATTAGGCTTCTCCTCTGTTGTGGTTTTACCTAATAGTGATGCAGCTTCTCCGTCTACCAAATGAATAAAAGCATGAACTCCAGCAGCTGCAGGAAATGTTCTGTGGTGAAATATTTTCTTTTTGTTTATTTCTGTCATCAGAGATTACATGTGATAACAAAAATTTTAAAAAACCCTTTCCTTATTTCTTGGATAGGACAGATATTTGAAGGGGATAAGAAATAGAAACCATGGTACCAGGTAGCCCACAGTTCTGGGTGTTGATTTATCCCTACCTTAAATCCAGCATTTCACTACAAGCAGCCTGCTGCTGAATGATTTTCTACTTTAGGCAGATTCTCTACAAACTTCCTCATATTCTGTTCATATGAGGAGGGAAAACAGCTGGAACTGGTGTGGTTTAATGAGTCGGCAAGTCCCGTGCACTGGAGCCAGAGTCTGTCCTGCATTTAATCTGGGCTCAAGATTCTGACTCATTATGTGATCCCGAGAAAATCATTTGACCTTCTTGATCTTCTGCCAGCTCAGATGGAAAATTAGGTAAAAAGCAAAGACTGCAGTGGAAACTTGGTTCTGTGACTGAGCTGAATAGATGAAATGAATAAATGTACAGGTGTTTCCCTGCATTTACACCAATGGGAGCCACAGCAGGATTTAAACAAAAGACAGAAAATAGCACATTTGGCACTTTTTCTGGCTGAGCAGTCTTTCATAATATGTAGCATTTCACTGGAAACAACCCTTACAAATATGTTAAAACAAAGAAGTTCAGTGTGCTGTTATTACCAAGGTGCCATCCACGAGGAATGTGAATTTGATAGCCACTGTAATTTTTTCTGCTCTTATGTTTCCCCTTGTCTTTGGCATGGCATTCAATAGCCTTCATTTCCACTTGTCCTGCTTTGAGCAGAAGAGCCCCAGAAGTTCAGAAACCACTATGAAAGATTCTACTCAATGGGTGGAAAAGGTTCCCACTGTCAGAACTGCAGGGTCTTGTTCCAACTTTTCCCACTCTCACACTGAACCTCTGTTATCATCTTATCTACCTCTAAAGTACTTGCAATGAAATGTTCTCTAATATACTGAAATTAGCAGTACTTGAGAATTCGAGGATCAAGTACTCAATTCAAAAAAATTTGTTTGCTCTGAAAAAAAAATTTGTTGCTTATGAAAGTGATGGCTGTGATAAGGTTGAGGTGATAGTGCCTCTAAGAGAGAAGGTACAATTAACAAGGGAAAGGAATAAAGTTCATGGTATAATCTTAACAGGAACTGAAAAGAGATAAAAGGAAAAGTTTTACATTATATTCCTTCTCCACCCACATTACTTAAACTCCTTTAAAAACTGAAATCCTGGAAAAGATTGTTACAATTGTGATTGTATCACAGGCCACTTGATCAAGCTTGTTATGATGTCACCAGAACTGCAAAACTATTTCAAGTCTTACTGCCCACATTGCTTTTATAATTTTTCTTTGCATATCACTGTTACATTAGAAACTGTTAACACCAGCTGTAAATTTGACATTCCACTAAGAATTCAAGACCAACTGACTTAGTCCTAGATGTAGTTTTATTGCTTTGTTTTATTTTTATTACCATGTCATGGAAAACATGTTCATATTACTGAAATCCATCTGAGAGAGATCTTATTACCTGAAAAAAAAATGTGGGTTTTGATCTTCATATATCAAAGGTAATCCTTTTCTACTCCACAACTGGTTTAGGACCAGCCACATGAATGCCACTTTTATAAGTGTTTTCTGAGAATGTCAGAAACCTCCCTATTCCTCAATGCCTTTAATTTTTATTTTATTTTTATTTTTCTATCTAAAAATTTATAACTATATATTAGGTTTTTTTTCCTCTGGTACAAAGCAGACTCCAGCCATAGATACCTTAAAGCATTGACTTGGAGTAAGGAAATTTTATTTCCATTGTTTTTAAATCTGGGACATTTTCCCTATTTAAGAATTATTTTCTCATGTATTATTTTCAGTTACTATGTGAGCCTAAAATTATTTTGAGTTTTATGGCTTTGAGCTTCTATTGCCTCTGCTGGACTTCAGCCTGGTGCAAGCTCCTACTGTAAAGGCGAGATAAAATCTGAACCCTGAACTAATCCCGTCCTGCAGAAACTCCTGTCTTTGAAATAGAAATAAAACTTTCATCTGAGCTTCTCAGAGGAGTGTATGAAAACAGGACTGAGATCTGAATTTCATGGTTCTGATCCTGTCTTGCTGATTGGAATTGTCCTATAGTTACACTGAAGTTGTTTTGATTAGTGTAGTAAAGGAAACTGTTTCTGATTCAGTCTGATTCACCATGCCCGGACTTCTTTCTCATGACTGATTAAACAAAACACCATTTATTGTGTGTGTAGGTTACCATGGTGACAAGAAACACTGAACATCAATGAAACTGATTAGAAATTGTGATTCTTTATCTTCAGAAACTTATCTTTTGTGTGGAGACTTTCTCATAAATTTGGATTTCTGAGTTAGCTTTGGGAAAGCAATCTCTAAATTTGCCCCCACAAACATGTATGGTCATAAGTGCACACCAGTAACTTATATGTGCAAATTAGCATTTTCAGAAGCAAACAAAGGGAAATAATTTGTTTAAGATGTGGATCTGGGAAGCCTGAGTCCTTTCCCAGATTCAAACACAAACATCTTGTTCGGCCTTGGACCTTGTCACATAAAGACTTTTTTTAAAGGTTTGTTCTTTTGGACACTTGTATTTTCAGGCACAAAAGGTACTTTAAGCCTGTTTTATTTCAGATCTTCTGTATATCTGTGATTTTAGCTGTCATCTGTGAAAAACTTTACTTTTTTACCACTCTAAAATACATGTCTTAAGGCAGTACAGAATAAATACTTTGTTTTCATATAGTAGCCCACTGTGCAAAACATCTTTTCACTTCCCTTTTCTGGACTATTGAGGAGATCCTAAAATAAGAATGATGTTGTTGTTTTCTTCTACCAATAGGTTCCAGTTGCTGGCTTTGTTTGGTGCTGTCTTTCTCAAACAAGTAGCATGAACTAATCAGGCCACTTTTGTGAGTGAGTGAAGATTACAGGTAAAAAAGATTATAGCAGGATGAATCTAACTTCAAAAATTAATCTAACTTGGCCTGAATCAATTGTGTGGAAAAGAAGCAGCTTTGATCTTGCCCTGTGTAAGGTTTCAATGGATTTTACAGTTCCTGTAAGTGCACCTGCTTAGACCATGGAAGAGGATGCTCAACACATGCAGAAATTATCTTTGCATTTACTCTTGTACCTGTAAAATCTATCTCCTGGTTTGTTATTCATGTCTGGACTGAGATTCCATTATTTTTCCCTGTTTATAGGAATGCTTTGGGGACAGGCATCAGCTGCTGATGCCTCAGCCCTTATAATGTCCTGGTAGGCAATTTCAGAGACCTTCAGTATGAGATCAGTCTGGGTGGACTGGGATGGAGAGAAGCTTAGCACTGCCAAGGTCTGAAACATTGATGTGGTGGGTTCAGTGCAAGGGATCTGAGGTTTTCTTTTTCCCAAAAAAAACCCCAAAACAAGCTAGCATGAAGAATGGATTTATGAATTCCCTACAGAATATGATTTGTCCTGGCCATGGAAAGGTCACTGGTAGGGCAGTGTAGGTAGGATTAGACATACAGACTTGGCTTGATGATTTATTTTTGGTTTGAAACTAATATCACTTTTCTGTTGTACTGCTCAGTTGCAGTCCACGACAGATGGGAAGAATCCACAGCCATTTTAACTGCTTATAATATTTCAGCATTTACCACTGAAACCCTCTAGTTCATTGTGTGTTATTTTAGAGAGAAGTGATTAAAACAAAAAATAACATAAATCTAATTTTCTTTCTCTATTTCTTCTCTCTCTCTCCCCTTTTCTGTCTCTCCTTCTTTTCTTCTTTGGAAGGGCTCCAAGAGATACATTAGGAAATCTAATGCCAAATGCCAACAAAGACTCAACCAGTATCAGGATAAGACTTTAAAATATATTTTTTGTTAGTACATTAAAAGGCCTGAAAACTAAAGGCTTCTTTCTTTTACTGAATTACAGATAAAATACTGAATAGCAGTCATCTCAATCAGACATGAAGCTTTCTGAAAAAATTCCATTTGACTTTAATAATTGTGCAACAGCCTTTTCTGCAAATCTTTGTTTAAAATAAAGCTCAGGAGTTTGACACCAAGACATGTTTGTTCAAATCAGCTTATAGTAGAAGTGTTTTCTTCTTGGCTGCAGATGCCCATGTACTTTAAAAGGTGCTGAAGGATTGTTCAACACATATAGAGACTCAAGAAGAGAAATTTTATTTTATTTTATTTTAAATATTTCCCAAAATATGTCAGAGGAACTAATGGTAGAATTGAGGACTCTTGACCCTGTTTGAGTCTAACTTTGCCAGATGCTGCTTCATTATTCCTGTGCTCTGTGGGAATATTAACTTCAGCAACAACTTTTGTAAGAGTAAACTTGTATTTGCCAGCATTCTTTTGCTAGTGTTATGGATGGATAAGAACATTAGCAAGCTACAGATTATTCTTTATCATTGTTGCTGCAGTTAAATCTCTGCCAGAAGTTGATGAAAGGTGGAAGGACTGACAGATTACAACCTGACACTTGTTTGACTGTCTAAGAAGTGGTATCCTATGTAGGATAAATGCCTGTATTCCTCTAAAAACCACAAACTACAGTGTGGTGAATGAGATATTACAGTGCTAAAATACATTAAAATGTCCATGTTCTGTCATGGAATGGGTACTTCTATGGCCTTCTTGGAGTTGATGCTACATTATGTCCCACACAACAGAAAGATTGGGTAGGGAAAGGTTAGGTAGGAAAATTTCTTGGTTTTGATGAACTAGAAACAATAATCACACAAGAGTGAGAGTGGAATATCTTCAGACCCTGCCTAAAAGTTTACATAGCAGACCAGCTAAGATTATAAGACTTAATTAATGAATGGTAGGTATGGATGTAAACCTGAGACACTTCCTTAGGAAAAAGGGATGAGCAAATACATGTCACAGGAGGAATCCTTAAATCCACTCAACACAGAGGGATTGAATGGTGCCACTAATGTGGCTAATTTCTGCTAATGCCACTAATAGTTTCTTTGTGGGCTAACTATTCTCCCCATTCCTTTCTCCACTATAGTGCACTGAGCTTAGGCTCCCACATTCCTTTGGGGATGTTGGTGGCAATAGACTCAGCCGACTGCACTGAAAATATAGGATCTTGCTGCCAAAGATACAGAGAGAATAATCCTGTAAAACAAATTCTGCCTATTTCGTATCAAAATCTTACTCTGACAAACGGTTGTATACACTCCAAAGCTAATCCGTGCTGCAAAACAAGTGGTCTTTAAAAGACAGCAATTAAGGAATTAGGGGGATTCTCTAAAAGGGAAAGTCCTTTGCAGTAAAATAGGTGCCGTGAAAGTGACAAAGTAATTATGTGTCTTCTTTGGTGTGGAAGGGAAATGTCCCGTCACACTGGCTCCAAGACCCAGCAGGTGGGTTCCCCACCTGAATGGTCCCGGGAACATGTGGCTGCACCTCCGAACAAAAGGAACTGAACACTTTGGGATGGGCTCACAGGCAGAGCCTGCCTGAGCCAGGAGATAAAACCTTGGAAGAAAGGAACGGGACTTAACTTCACTTACCATTCTAAGAAGGAAGATGTTTTGGACTAGGATGAAAAAAAGGAGAACTGAGAGTTGTTGAAATAGGCTAAATAAAAGTAGATTAGGACAATTTAAAGATGTCCACTGTCAGATCATTTATTTCTTAAAAGAGACCAGTTCTTAAGTTGCTATGGAATATCTGATCAGTACAATGAGAATTCATCTGCAGAAACACAAACCTTTCCTGTTATTATCGCTAACCCTTTTTGGTAACCTGTTGTTCCCTATGCTCTGGGGACAGTTACAGGATTTAAGTCAACCAGTGGCAGAAGGGAGAGAACTTTACAAGAATGGGACAGAAAGCAGGTGTGTGATGCACAGATACATACATACATTGTTACAAATAATGTCATTTATTTTGTCTTTTTCTGGTCACTTGAATTCTATTCACTTTTGTTCATATTAATTTAGTTTTCCTCTTTTCGTTTTCTGTGTTCTAGTTAAAACAAAGAATGATGTTGGACTGAGTATCTGGACTGCTTTATGCTCTGGCTTTCCCTGCCTCATTTGATTCCCTTTACATCTGCTTTTCTATTTCCCACCTCCGTATTTTCTTCCAATTAGTTTTTGTTTCCCCCCTTTGTTACCGCTCTCCTTACAGTGGTGATTTCTGTACAGTGGACACATGTTCACCAGGAGTTAGTTTCACCCCCCCCAATTTACTTCTCATTTGCCCAGTTGTGGTGACATTCAGTCCCTGGAGGCCTGTCTGATCTGAACTCAAGGTTCTGTAGTGGGCTCTGATTAGCTGCTAACAGGGGCTAGGAGGAGAAACTACAAATCTCTCTATTGTGAAATAGTCTGACCTTCCATCTGCTGAAGTCAGTGACACCTAGGGAATCAGGATTGGGTCCAAAGTCTTGGAAGAAGCTTAAGCTATTTAAATTTTCATGTGTAGCAACAGAAATGGCATTCTTGGCTCTCTAAGTACAAGGCAAATGCTGCTGTTTATTCTCTCTTGCCATACTATCTCAGTTGTGAATTCATCATGTTTGAGACCCTAAAATACAGAGTCAAACAAAGTCACTTGCAATGATCCAGAGTCCCCATTACTGCCCCTCCTCAGCTATGGGTAGCCAGCCTTGCATACATCACCCCAGCAATATTTACCCAGAGCCATGAAAACTGCTGGAATTGTGCTTTGCCCCTGCTAGACTAAGTACACTTTTTAATAGGCATGGGTTGAAAGCAAATTGACTTTTTAAAGGGAAACAGGCTGCTCCTCAAAAACTATTAGAGATTCTGTCATCTGGAATATCCCTATCGTGTTGACCTTATTTACAGATTTTGTGAAAAATACAGCATCATAACATTGATGTATAGACCCTCTAGCATCCAATTTCTTTAAAGGATGTCTCCATATGAAATAAGGATGCTGCTCGTGAATCCATGCATGCTGAGGCAATACTAATGAGAGTAAGCACTGTGGAATATATTGCATGCAAAGGCTTTTTTTAAATGTAGTCATACACTTTGGAAATAAAGCAATTTGGCATCTTACCATGGCTACAAATGAGGTGGTGTTATGGGAGGGGGGATCAGGCAATAAAAGTGACAGTGGTGGGGTGTTATTGACAGCTCTTTTCGTAATTACAAACTGTGTATGCATCTATCCACATTATCCAAGCTCTGGTCTTCTTTAGGAGTAAAACACAACCATAGGATGGTAACATTTCATTCAGTCTGTTTGAATAACACTGTATCATAAGCAATTAAAATATCTCTTTTATTATTTTTACGCTTTTTATTGTTACAATCATGCTCACCAACATAATTTAAATGCTCCAAGGACCATAGCAGACAAATAGGTAAAACAGTCACAAATCGGGTGTTTTACAGTCCAAATTCACAGTGAAGAGGTCAGGATTCCTTAGGGATTCATAGTGAACGCTAAGGAAGATTCAGGAGAGCTGAAAACAACGCAAGTGATAATGTGTTCCTTTGTCTAGAACTGCAAATGGCAGCAGCTCTGGGGAGCCTTTTGGAGAGAATAGACTTGAAACAAACAGGTTTGGGATTCCTGGGCCTCTTGCTGATAAGGGCTGGTAAACCGAGAAGCTGTAGTCCAAAAGATCGACCAAACAACAGTCTACTGATGCTTGGACTAATTAGTCTACTAATGCGAGGACATTGGGGAAGGGAGTGTCCAGTTAAAGGCGTTCAGTCAGACCCGTGACTTCTCCAGTTGTTTTTAGTGTCTCCATCTTCTCTCCTTTTTTAAACAAACTTAGCAAGAAAGCCTGGAAGTGTTTATTCTGCTAATCTTTCCTGTAATTCCAGGGAATTCTTTACTTGTCTGGAATGCTTTATTGCTCTCCGTGATTTTTGGGTCACAGTACAATGGCAGTCATTGTGAAATGATTGTATTTATTAAAGTGAAT